ACAACATTTTTAATAGGGGGAAGAACTACTTCTCTCAGTTACTGAACGTACATAGGGCCAGTGCTGTTAGGCAGACAGAAATCCATACAGCTGAGCCGTTAATACCTGATCCTAGCCTTTGATTTCTGTAATATACTCTGGGTTTTCTTGCAAGTTATTCTGTTTCTTATTTGTTTGTTTGTTTGTTTATTTATTTACTTTCTCTAGAACAACGAAATTCAACTTTATCTGGTTTACAGACTGGTAAAACTGCTGCGGCCTTTCGGTGGACTAATACCCTATCAGTTTCATATTTTACAAAGTCTACAAGACTTATCATCATCATCACACCATGATATTCATATTTTTTTATTGCTAGTCGGGTGGGACTAAGTTCCTTCTACGGCGGCCACTTCTGGCCTATTGTACCAGCCCCAGATGATAGGTGAGGGTGATTGTGGAGCAGTTGGTGGAAAGAAGATTGGCAGGGGAAAACGAAGTACTCGGAGAAAACCTGCCCCAGCGCCACTTTGTCCACCACAAATTCCACTTGACCAGACCCGGGATCGAACCCGGGCCGCCGCGGTGGGAAGCCAGCGACTAACCGCTTGAGCTATGGCGCGGCCCATATTCTTCATAACAGATGCCTTTAGATGGCATTACAATTTGATAATCGCAGTCAATATGGCGGCACTAATTTGAACTATCGAGTACATCCATGTTCCAAGGTTCCACAGTTTCTAACATGGCCTGACCTGAATTTTATAGCGACTGATTTAAAGCACCCGGCTTAAACTGTAACACATGCGGGAAGGGGTCCGCGGACCACTAGTTATAAAACAGTTTTGTCTTCTTACACATCATTTCGAAGATGGCGTGTATAGAACATGTCCAAAATAATTGTTACAGGATCCGAACCTATGGGATTTTCCCGAGATTTTCTATTTTCCTTGTCATGTTTTTACAATCTTATAATATGTGTACGTGTTTCAATTGCGAAAATGAATAGTACTTACTTGTACAGTTCAATTCTTGAGCCACTTCTCCCCACAGCTTATCTAGTACATATCGATTGTGGTGTCTTGAATCTCCCTGGTCCCACAGTGTCCTTCGCAGGTGCACTAAACTGATTAATTTGTCAGTATCCATATAAAATATCAATATTACCTCTCAGAGTTAAAGATATGCCTCTGTGAGACAGCTGAAGGTCAAACCCAGCAAACAAACTGCGCATCTCGACTCGCTGCTTCACACCAGTCGGCAATCGCTAGTCGGCGCTCCACACTGCCAGTTCAGACTTGTTTGTAGTAGTCGCCCATACATGGAGATTCTTTCTTCGGTATTTGAAAGCCCGTTGCAGACACTAGAGTTTGTGGATTGAGATAGCATGTTGCGGACCTTGTGAGTGTGATAATTTACCGTTGGATTCAATTAAGGAGGAAGGGGAATTTCTAATCCTCTTGACCTGATATTATCTGGTGTAGAATAACATACGAAGCTTCTCATTATGCATTTATCACCACTCTTTTGTTACTTCTTCTATTTCACGCCCAAATATTATCAGAATCCTGGTCTAAAACATTATCAATCTACATTCTTTCCTCAAAGTGTGAGGTCGAGTTTCACTCCCATACAAAACAACACTTAAAAAGAATTTTAAGATAATGAAGCTACTTTGTTCCGTGTCTTCTCATCTACTCTGAAGGTTGAGGCAGCATGTTGGTAACGATCTACAAGACTACACGGAGTAATATTGAATGTATGCTATATAATCATGCAATTACACGCAATTTGGAGCCTAAACACTTCACATTTGTGGTTCAGCAACTACGGAAATTAGTGTGTAGAATTGATCAGTGAAGGTATGTGTACCAATTTAAGACTTTTAAATTGCAGCTTATTGTGTTACATGTAGCGGACGTGAAACTTAATCCCCAAGTACCCCTGTGTACGGGCGCTATCTTTTGGTTTCGTCACAATCCTTTACTCACCACTTGATCCTAGACTCGCTTCTCCACTATGTCGAAGTTCCCTCACCTGATCCTCGGCGGCGATGGTGTCGCACGTAACGTCTGACTAACAGAGACATCAGGTGAGCATTAGCGAAACTATCTGGTAACGATACGCCATTACGATATGCATCCCAACCGACCGATGTTATAGAAGGTTAATCTATTCCTTAGGCACCTGAACTAATCTTCTATGAAATAATTTGATAATAAAATTAGATTCTGGGATATGAGATGAAGTGATGGATTATTTAGGTTTACCTTAAGGAGAGATGGATAACTAACGGCAAAGGCAATGAGAAACATGTTTGGGTTAATGCAATATAATCTTAGCGGCATCCAAAAGAACCATTCTTTATTAAGTGAAACCCGTTTCAGTACTCACAAGGTCAGTTTAGTTCATCGCATTCGTTTCTTCCCGAATTTTCTTTCTTCCATTATTTCCCACTCATATTTCATCTCTCAGGTACTCAAGAATTTTCTAACATTTTATGGCACTCGAAAATTCATCGCCGTGTTCACGAGATTCCCGCACTGATCCGAATCCTGAGCCAGATTAATCAAGTCCATACCATACCATCCTATTTCTGTAAGGTCCATTTTGTAAATATCCTCTCACTTACGGCTAGTGGTATCTTTCCTTCTGGTTTCTGCACCAAAATCCTGTAAGCATTCGTCTTCGTCATCATGCGTGCTACATGCCCCGTCCATCTAATCCTCTCTGAATTTATTATTCTAATTGTGTTTTTCGAAGTGTGAAACCTATGAAGCTCCTACTTTATTCAGTATCAGTGTCACAATATACTGTATGTATAATTCTATATGTTTCGTCTACTATGTTTGGCCATCATCAGGTAGTGCTTATACAGTCTAGTATTACCCGATGATAGCTAAAAATAGTAGCCTAAATATGCCATAACTGTAGAAACAGTATTGTTATCCTACAGTTATACAATATATTATATATTATATTTATATATTTCGGGACTGAAAAGGACTAAAGGATTCTGCACACAATGTAACGCTAAAATACAATATTATTACAAAGGTCCTCATAACTCCAGTCAATTCTATCCCAACTTTTTCATTTTGATTTAATATTATCTTGCAAGATGTTTCTTCCTTTCAGGTTTTCCAACCAAAATTTTGGAAACATTTCTAATGTCTCACATGCGCATTACATGCCCCACCCATGCTCCTTGGTTTCTTCATCTTATTTCGACGAGGAATGCAAATGTAAACTATTTTTACATTATCTCCGAATTTCGTTAATAATGAAATTTAATTTTTAGAGAAAGAAATTATGGTAACAATCAGCTTTGCATACTTCTTATCACAATTTCTTTGCCTTCCAATCACGGACTGTGACAACTTGGTGACGTTTTTCAGCTTCATTCGCCCATCCGGTTATTCAATGCTTTTCTCTGGTTCCTTGATCCGTGTGAAGAACACTATTGATGCATGTGGTCTGTACTTTATGGTTTCGGAAGCCTGTTTCTGTGCATTCTGTCAACACATTCAATCCAGCTGGTTCTGTCTTTGAAATCTTGTTCAATATAACTGCTGCTTAGTTCTTAATAATTAAGAATTATTAGAAGGTACAGTTACTACGCCTTTTTATATTATGGTCGATCGAAGTACATTTCGACCTTCTCGTCGATTTCAGTTTGGCAGATTGTACGCATGGCCTGAGAGAGCTGAGATGGTGCCCGGTCAGTCCCAAATGTGGGGCCTCCAACCCAACCCGAAAGCCATGTAAATGTATATATACATTTAATATATTCTTTAAGAATCACGATTTCTGTTATTTATAAAAATATTAAGTTATATAACAGAAACACTTTATATTGTTCACAGTTAACATGTTATTTATACTTGACATATAATAACAAATAATTTGAAAATTATTTAAATTTAAAAATTAAATAACAGTACATTTTGGGCTCCCACTTTTATGCTGTGTCAAACTCTGTGTGCATTGAGAGATCGCCTATTCTTGAATATAAAATTCCAGATTATATACAAAATTATAAATTAATTCCTGGATCATAATGCGAAGCAGAAGTTTTCTCGCAGGTGAGAGTCCCTTTATATGGGGGATCAGACTTTCAAAGAAACTGGCATTTCGTCCCGTGTTTGTATTCGCCTGCACTAACCTTCAGCACTGGTCTGTCGATCCGTGAAGAGGCGCTGCCTACATCCGGCTGATATGAGCTTTTGGTGCTGAGTTTGGTCGTGCCTGATTCGACATTTGGTGTAACTTGGTGTTCATTCGAAATCGGTGAATTAAAAGTTTCAGTTTTAATATCCAAGATATCGACAGAAGCACCAAAATGTGGCATAGTTCAGATATTTTGGAACGACCACAAATAAGAGTAAAAAGTAAAGTAAAGCTGTCCCTGTACCAGGCCGTGAAGGCCCATAGGGTTCTGAGACGTTGAGGGTCCCACACTATAACAAAACAAAACATGATTCAGGAGGAAATTAAGAGGAGATTGAATTCAGGCAGTGTTTGCTACCATTCAGTCCAGAACTTTTGTATTCTCGTCTGCTGTCAAAAAAACATAAAAATTAGAATATAAAAAAGTTTAATTTTGCCTGTGGTTCTGTATGGGTGTGAAACTTGGTCTCTGACATTAAGGGAGTAACATAAACTGAGGGTGTCTGAGAACAGGGTGCCGAGGATAATATTTGGACCGAAGAGAGATGAAGTGACAGGAGGTTAGAGAAAACTGCATAATGAGGAACTTCATAACTTGTACTTTTCTCCAAGTATAATTAGAGTGATCAGATCAAGGAGAATGAGATGGGATGGGCATGTAGCACGAATGAGGAAGAGAGGAATGCATATAGGATGTTGGTAGGAAAGCCAGAAGGAAAGAGACAAGGCGTAGGTGGGTGGACAATATGAAAATGGATCTTAGAAAGATAGGGTGGGATGGGATGGATTTGATTGATCTGGCTCAGGATAGGGACCAGTGGAGGGCTCTTATGAACACGGTAATGAAGTTTCGGATTCTATAAAATTCTGGGAAATTCTTGAGTAGCTGCAGAATTGCCGGCTTCGCAATAAGGGCTCAGCTCCATGAGTGAGTGAGCACCATCCAGTTCACTGAACTGTGAATTTTCTAGCCCTCCATCTCTTGTGCCAATTTGTTCATCCATTGAAATATTTTCTTTAGGCGGAATTTCCCCAGCGCTTGATGGACTCCAGAGTCCGGAGATAAGTTTGTTCGATGGACTCCAGAGTCCGGAGATAAGTCGGTTCGATGTACTCCAGAGTCTGGAGATAAGTTTGTTCGATGGACTCCAGAGTCCGGAGATAAGTTTGTTTGATGGACTCCAGAGTCCGGAGATAAGTTTGTTTGATGGACTCCAGAGAACGGAGATAATTTTGTTTGCTGTTTAACGATGCTGTCCGTAACGAAACTACATAGCGCCGAAAAGAGGATGATTAATTAATATGAAACACTTTTGGTGGAATGATAACTGGTAGACGGACCTAGTACTCAGCGAATACCTGCCCCATTGCCACTTTGTCCATCACAAATCCCACATGATCTGACCTAGGATCGAGCCCGGGTATTCGCGGTGGGGATTCGGCGAGTAACCACCTGTTCTATGACACGGCCGTGATGCGAAGAGAAGAGTATCTGCTCCTCCAATCTCATTATGAAGTAGTACAATATAAACTTAAATAATAAATTGATTTATTTTTATAAGTATAAATTATGAGTTTTATTTCTTAAACACTTCTTGTGTAGTCATTCCGCAGGCTATGCCATTCTCAGCAGAAGCTTGCATTAACAGATAACATCAAATCTTATTAGAGCCACTGATGTGAGAGGTCCTACAGAAAATTCCTTCTTACAAGCCGCCAAAAACATGTTGCGATAAATGAAATTTTCCGAATTCTGTCAGCGCAGTCGACGTTAAGAATGAAGCAGGAGTCCCTCACATTCTACGCCCAAATTCTACAGGTATAGGCACTCTGTTTGTACAGGTTGCAGCTAATAGTAATTATGAATTTACACGTATACTTGAGCTACTGGCCCAGACATGTTCAGATTAACGGCGATTTAAAGGAAAAGATTTGCATACACTTCCATGCTTAGGAACTTCCACAATTTTTTTTATTTAGTATCGTAACCAAATTAGAAAAAAATCCCTTCAGCAACAAAAAACCATTTATTTGTAAAAACAAACTGCTTAATTTTATAAAGAATGCCATCTTCTGAGACGTGGCGCCGTGTAAGTCTTATGTGAAGCGACGTTTCGGAGGAATGTATAGCCTCCATCTTCAGGACAGAAAAATCAAGATCTACACAGAACCACATCACAGAAGACGGAATTTTTCATAGTCACCACAGTGAGAACTTCAAATCTTACACATGCTTATTGTGTTTACGTTTAATTCCCCTTTGTATAATTTCGTAACACCCCTGATTTCTTTCCCGAAGTATAATTAAGAACAAAGTAATTGTTTACCACTTATTTTTTTCGACCCCGGAGTTTCATGTGAACATATTTCTAGCGAATGTTAGCATCCATTTCACTTCTTGTCTAACAGACTGGTATTAGTAGAGCTAAACGTTCTGCATGCCTTCCATAAGCTGATTTACGGTTTAAAGATGTTTCTACGAAAATATTTTGGGGTATCCTGTGGCCAGTATTGCAAGTTATTTTCTTCTTATTTACATTATCTATAACGGTGATATTCAACGTTTTGTGATTCACGGACTGGAAAAACAGTCGCAGTCTTTCGGTGGAGTGGTGTTTCTTTTATTGTTAGTGGGGTGGGACTAAGCCCCTTGTACTGCAGCCACTTCTGACCTATTGTACCAGCCCCAGATGATAGGTGAGGGTGATTGTGGAGCAATTGGTGGAATTAAGACTGGCAGGGGAAACCGAAGTACTCGGAGAAAACCTGCCGCAGAG